ACTGGCCTGCTGCACCTGCTCAAAAGGGTCCATGAGCATGTGCGCTGACACGCTTGTAATCTGACTCCTTGCTGGTGGTGTTGTACCCGGAAACAGAATTATCCATCGAAGTTTTTTGCCGCCATTTTTCCTCTTGACAACAGCTTTACAGCCTTGTCTAAAAGTCAGTTCTTGGCTCAACGGCAAGTTCCAGAAACTATCACGCTGTGGAATTTTGAATGCACTTGTTAAATTAATGGCATGTGTCAGGCTCGTGCCGGCTAATGCATGCGCAAATTTGTCCCTGGAACCAGGCCTGCGGTTGGCGCCGGCCCTGGTGGCCGGCCCTTAGCCCACAGGGCCAGGCTGTGGCTCAGCTCAAACGGATGACGTGGGCAGACCCTCCTGTGGACCCACCACCCACAGAGGGATCTGTGGTGGCATGGTGCTGAGAGGACTGGGCAGCAGTCAAAGGCGGAGACCTCAACGACCCAGTCGACACACACAACAACTGGCCCCCCCCCCCCCCCCCTTTCACTGAGGGGGAATGAGCCTGAGCTCGAAGGGGAGGTTGAGCAATACCGACTAGAGATAGTCGGCCTCCCCTCTACATACAGCTTGGGCTCTGGAACCCAACTCCTTGAGAGATGTTGGATGCTCTACTTTTATGGTATTTCTCGCGGGGGGAGGCGGCGAGCAGGGCTGGCCATTCTCATTCCCCCCGCATCTCGGCCGCCACGTGTTGGAGATCTCCCTGGGTCACGTCCCTCCGCCTCCGGGTGGGGGGACAAATCTCTCACTGTTATGCACTGCAGAGTGCTCGGCCTTCTTGGAGCCCCTGGGAGGGGTACTGGACGGTGCACCAACTGGGGACGTTTTTCTCCGGTGGGACTTTCATGCTCATGTGGGAAATGCCAGTGACACTTGGAGAGGAATGATTGGTAAGAACGGCCCCCCTGATCTGAATTCGAGTGGTGTTCAGTTGTTGTTCAGTTGCTAGTCACAGTTTGTCCATCACGAACACCATGCACAAGGGTGTCCACCAGTGCACGTGGCACCAGGACACCCTGGGCGATGATCGGCCTTTTTTGTTGTATTATCTGACCTTCGGCCGCGTGTCTCGGACACTGGGGTGAAGAGAGGGGTGGAGCTGTCAACCGATCACCACCTGGTCGTGAGTTGGATCCACTGGCAGGGGAAGAAGCCGGTCAGACCTGGCAGACCCAAGTGTGTAGTGAGGGTCGGCTGGGAACTTCTCGCTGAGCCCCTTGTCAAGTGGACTTTCAACTCACACCTCCGGGAGAGCTTCTTCCAGGTTCCGGGGAGGAGGGGGACATCGAGTCTGAGTGGACTATGTTTTCCACCTCTTCTCGCCAATGCGGTGGCTCGTAGCTGTGGTCGCAGTAAGGCTGAAGGAGTCTTTCAAGCCATGATGGTTCGTGGCACTCCTGAGGCAACTGTCCAGAACCAGCAGGCCAAGCGAATTCTTCTGTCTCCCTGGCTGCAGTAAGTAAGTGAGTAATCTTTATTTATATACCGCCAGACCAGAGTCACAAAGCGGTTTACAATTGGTTTGCCGGACCTATTTTGTTTTTAGTGTCAGGGGAAACCAGAGTACCGGGAGGAAACCTACGCAGACACGGGGAGAACATGCAAACTCCACTCGGAAAGGCCCTGTTCTGACCGGGATTCGAACCCAGGACCTTCTTGCTGAGAAGCAAGAGTGCTATCCACTCAGCCACCGTGCCACAGTCACCAAGGTGGTTGGCAGCCTCCTTGGTGGCAAGGCGCCGGGAGTGGATGATCTGCCCTGACTATCTAAAGTCTAAAGATTGCGTGGCGATCGGGGGCAATGCCAATGGAGTGGCAGACTGGGGTGGGTGTCCCTCTCTGCAAGAAGGGGGGCCGGAGGGGGTGTTCTTATTATTGTGGGATCACACTCCTCAGCCTCCTTGGCAAGGTCTACTCCAAGGTACTGGAGAGGACACTACGACCGAGACCGATGGTTGAATCTCGGAATCAGGAGGAGCAGTGTGGCTTTCGTCCCGGCCATGGAAGACGGGACCAACTCTTTACTCTCCATCTGATACTTGGGGGATCATGGGAGTTCGCCCAATCTCTCCACATGTGCTTTGTGGATTGGGAGAAGGCGTTCAACCATGTTCCCCGGGGTGTCCTTTGGGGGGTTTTCCGGGAGTTCGGGGACCGGGGTGCTCTGCTGAGGGCCGTACATCCCCTGTATGACTGGAGCCAGAGCAGCGTTTGCATCGCTGGCAGTAAGTCCGACTTGTTCCCGGTGCCTGTTGGCCTCCGCCAAGGCTGCCCTTTGTCACCAGTTCTGTTCACTGTCTTTACAGAATTTCTAAGCACAGCCAGGGGCCGGAGGGGTCCGGTTCAGAGACCACAGGATTTGATCTCTGCTGTTTGGGGGAAAATGTTATCCTGTCTCAACGAAACCAGGACCTGCAACATTCACTGGGATGGTTTGCAGTGTGAAGAGGCTGGGATGAGAATCAACACCTTCAAATCTGAGACCATGGTGCTTCACCGGGAAAAGTGCTGCCCCCAGAGGTGGGTTGTTACAAGAGCATCCCAGAGGAGTGTGACTTATGTGTGGTTGAAGATGAATTTCACTTTTTGTTTTACTGCTCTTTGTATCACGAGTTACAAACTAATTTGTAATCATTGAAATCATTCGGAAGAAAAATCTTGATTGTTTTTGCTGTCTGAAGGTGAAATGTTTGTTTGTTTGGTTACTTTTGAGGATAAGGCCTGGACACAGAGACAGGGAACACTATCCAGAGCTTAAATGATTGTTGTTGCTTGTACCATATTTCCTTTTTGTATTAGTGTCATATAAGCCCATGTGGGCTGGGCATATGTGTGCATGACACTTAACTAAAATTGATTCTAAGGTCGGGACTCTCTTGGGGGCAAAAGTTGCTCCGTTGGTAAAGCATTGGTCTTTGAACCTAATGGGCGTGGGTTTGATCTGTCATCTCCTCCCATTGATGTCTGCTGTTGTTGTGTCCTTGGACAAGACACTTAACCCCACTTTGCCTGAAGCTCCCACTGAAACACAAGGCTGTGTCTTTGATCTTTGATGACGGAGCAGCCATTTTTCCGTGGATCCACCACCTGCAGGAGGATCAGTGAGGGGCCGGTGATATGAAGTTTTGTGGCAGCTCTAATTGCCACCCCCGACCAAGAAGTGGACTAAAAAAGCAGATGTTAATGAATTAATAATTAAAAAGTTCTGGACTCTTACACAGCATGATGCGCCCCCTTCCAATTCTGTGGAGAGTGCAACTCATATTTGTCCCCTGTTGATGTGTGAAGAAAAGCATATTGACTGTCTCTGCTTGTTCTTGTTTAATTTAGATTTGTCTTGTGTTTTGGTAAGTTTGCATTGGTCCAGACTCTTTCCTTTTCTGAATAATGGATTGAACAATAGACAAAGAGGTGGGACATGTTCCATTTTTTTTGTTTTAATATTCTAAATTACAACAGTCCTAAATTACAAAATTAGTCATCTCAGAGGACTTAACAGACCTGTTGAAATCGTCAACACAGATCAGAGACTCAACCTCCTCCTGCATCGGCAAGGAAAAAAACCCAGCAGGAGAAAAGTGAGAAACCTCGGGGAGATCCACATTGAGACAGGTCTGGTGCAGGACTGAAGCAGCTCCCAGGCAGTTCGGGTAGTAGCGCAGTCTGCAGGTGCAGATGGAGGGGCTGGATTCAGAAGTCCTATTGTTACGCCATGAAACAGACAATGGGACAACGGGTGAAAAGTTTGGCAAACGTTTGTGTAACTTAACCCAACCTTTGACCTCTCTGGTGTGCTCCTTGGACTTCCTCCCTGACCTCGGATGTCTGGTCCTGGGGTATGAAGAGGTATATGTTAAATATTGATGACGTCGTCTGGAGCCTTTGATAAAGTGCGTGTTGAGTTTGGACCAATCAGAGCACGGTGTCTGTGACTCTGACTTTACTCATTTATTGATACGATCAGACGACAGGTTGACATTTGGACCAACGTTTGAACAGATGCAGACGTAATGAGACGAGGGGCGAGAGCAGGAGGAGCGGAGAAGGGGAGGGGAAAGAACTAATACACACGACTTTGAGCTGCCTCACGCAGAATCTGTGTCTTTGCCTTAAACCTCACAGAGCTCAGTGTAAATGGAGGGAGACTATGCAGATATGGGGAGGGAGACCATGCAAACTGCACACAGAAAGTTGACACAGACATAGGGAGAGAGGAGGAGAGAGCAAGAGGGACAGGAGACATGGTATCAGCTATGGTCTCCTTATTTTCTAATTAATCCTCTCTCTGGTCTCTCACTCTGGTCTCTTTTTCTGGTCTTTCTGGGCAGTTTCTCTAATCTCTCTCTGGTCTCCCTCTCAATACATTCAGAAAAAGATGACTCAAAGTTTGTTTTTTATTGTTTGAACAAATTGTTTCAGACAAAGGCACCAACAGAAAACTTCAAAAACACACAACAGATCTGCCACTTTTATATGAGTTTGGAAATTTCAAACCCGTTAAACTAAAAAGGGACAGGGAGGGGTCGAGCCTGGGTCCTGGTCCTGGCTCTGGGGGGAGTGCTGGGGTGTTCTGGGTCCTGGGGGTGTGGGGTGTAGGAGAGTGGACATAGTCAGATGCTAACGGCTACAGCACTAATCTGCCTCTCTGAAGACGTGACTTTGTTTTGGTGAAATTCACAGACAATCCCTTTAAACAACTCATCGAGGATCACTGGTTAATTTCAGAACAAACATGACATTTCTTTCTCTTCTTTCCCATAAGCTTGCTCTGTTCTTGTCCTCCTTGTCCTCCTCGTCCTCTTCCTCTTCTTTCTCCTCCTCGTTTCTCATGAAGCTGCTGCAAGAGTATCCCCTGTGTGTTTCTGTAGGTGCTGGCCAGGGCAGCTGTGGCTATACGTCCACTCCCCCTGCAGTTTATGGGACATGGTTAGGGTCAGGGGTCAGGGATGATCTCTTTGGGGGTGGTCTCTTCACAGCAGCAGCTCCAGGTCCTGGATCAGAGCGTCCACGCAAACCAGAGGGGGTCTCCAAAAGTGGAAAGCAGAGAACTCAGCTAATTCCTGCACACAAGAGGAAACAACTGTTTAGGTCAGTTCTAATCCTCACTGAGCCTGTGTGAAAATCTTCCTAATCTTCCTGCTGTTTGACATGAGGAATGACATCACCTGGTCGTCCTGTAGCTCTGCCTCCTCTGCCCTCACATTGATCTCTGAGCTGTTCATAAGGCCCAGCTCACTTAGCTCACACAGATCCAGCTCTGCAATTGGCTGTCTCCAGAACAGGAAGGAGTTGTACTCAGAGCTCTGCATCTGAAACACAACATGACATCATCAACACAAGCTGTGACATCATCAACACAAGCTGTGACATCATCAACACAAGCTGTGACATCATCAACACAAGCTGTGATATCATCAATATGAGCTCTGACATCATCTACAATATATATATATATGTTAATAATATCATGTGTGCAGCATTAACCAGAGCAGGAAAGAACCTACACATGGTTTATGGTTTTCTAACGGGACGAGGTTCAGTCCTGGTCCAGTCCTGGTCCAGTCCTGGTCCAGTCCAGGTCGAGACCCAGGTTTATTCCGGCTCCAGTCTTGGTGTCATGTCGCTCCCATAATAAACCAAGGCCTGTCATTCAAACGCAAGAAAAAAACGCATTTACCGTAAATCCAGATCCAGATTCTTTAAACCTGATGTAGACCTGAGTTAGACCTGGTTTCGGGTTTATGTGCTAATTTGGGATTTTATTCTGCGGCAGGTTCACTCTAACTGCGCCTGCATCAGCTTCTCTGTAGCTACAGCGCTTGTTTCCGGGTTCTTGTTTCAGATTAAAACTAACAAATTCTACTTTTCATGTAATTCATTTGACACCTGTTTCGTCAGCAGATGTATGCATCCTCTCTGTAATCAATCATTATCTGAACGTATCCTCAGACAGTTCAGTGTAAAAGAGCAACATCTCTTACAGCGGCGTGAACTCTGCTCTTGTTTTGTAGAATTAGGTTTCCGGTCTCTGCTGCTTGCGTATTGTCACTTTTTGCAGTCGTTCAGACCAACGCCCTTCATTAAAACAATACAGTCTATGATTAAAACACAATCGAGAATTAGAGAATAAGACTGAATCCTTAAAACATATCTATAGGATCAAACCGGACATGTCTCCTTGCATTAGTTCAATATGATGCTGAAATAAATACATAATGTCAAACAATATGTTTATTATCTTTTTTAAATTAATTAATGTATGGCAATAAAAAGGCATATTTTCTGCTCAAAAGGAGTAGATAGAACTGTTAAGCACCTTCTCCTAATGCCACATGCAATCTATGCATTATATAATTATATAATCGATTGTAATCATTTGAATTCGGACTCGCCTTGTGACGTGTCTCTAACGCCATCTCGCGGGGGATCTGAGTCACTGCATCCTCAGAACAGAGGAAACAGGAAAAGACTCGAGACACACCTCAATACGCCAAACCCGGGTCTAAACCAGGACTAAACCAGGACCCCAAACCCGGTCTAATCCAGGTCTGAACCGAGACTAAACCAGGACCCACAACCGGGGTCTGAACCAGGCCTAAACCAGGACCCCAAACTGGGGTCTGAACCAGAACCCAAATCCATCATCTGGACCAGGAGTAACGAGGGTCTAAAAAGGGTCTAAACCAGGACTAAGCAGGACAAACGTGGGTGAGTGTTGACCCGTTTTAATTTGACATAAATGAAGCTTAAGAAAAAAACGATCGTTCGAACGAACGAGGCGAGTTTAGTGAAGAAACTTAGTGATTTACAAACCAGGTCTGAACCAAGTCTGGACCAGGTCTAAACCAGGTCTAAACCAGGTCTAAACCAGGACTAAACCAGGACTAAACCAGGACTAAACCAGTACTAAACCAAGACCAAATCAGGTCTAAACTAGGTTTGGACCAGGTCTGAACCAGGTAATAAACTAGTTCTTAACTAAGCCTAAAGCAAGACTGAAGTAGGTTTGAAGCACGTCTAGAACAGGACGGTAGGCCTAAAACAGCAGTAAAGCAAGTCTAAAGCAGGACTAAAGCAGGACTAAAGTAGGACTAAAGCGGGACTAAAGTAGGACTAAAGTAGGACTAAAGCAGGACTAAAGCAGGTCAAAAGTTGGTCTAATTAAACTAGGACTAAAGCTGGACTAAAACGGGTCGAAAGTGGGTCTAAAGTGGGTTTAAAGTGGGTCTAAAGCAGGACTAAAGCAGGATTAAAGCAGGTCTAAAGCAGGATTAAAGTAGGTCTAAAAAAGGACTTAATAAGTAGTAAAGTTGGTCTATAGTAGGTCTAAAGCAGGACTAAAGCAGGTTTAAAGCAGATCTAAAGCAGATCTATAGCAGGACTAAAATAGGCCAAAAGTAGGTCTAAAGCCGCTCTAAAGTAGGACTAATAAGGCTGGACTCACACATGTTTTGATCTATGTTTTTGGTTCTTACATGTGGTCATTACACACAGATGTCTCCAGACTGAATCTAATAACTTAATAATAAATGTGTGACCTCATACTTAGTTTGAGAATGGGGGGTGGGGGCCTCTGTCCGTTATACACAGTCTGTAGGGTTTCATTTAAAATCTTTACACTTTAATAATGTGACAGTGATGCAACAACACAGGAATCTAACAAGTCACAACATACCAGGACTAGACCAGGTCTGAACCAGGACTGAACCAGGACTGAACCAGGACTGAACCAGGACTGAACCAGGACTGAACCAGGACTGAACCAGGTCTGAACCAGGTCTGAACCAGGTCTGAACCAGGTCTGAACCAGGTCTGAACCAGAACTGAACCAGGTCTGAACCAGGAATGTATAAGAGTAATGGCAGTGTCTCCATAGCAACAGTGTGTATCACAGTCATACAGCATAACCATAGTAACACCATAATTGTCTAAAAAAACCACATGACGTGTTTCATTAATTTGTTCTGGTCTCCTCAGATCTGGATCCGGGACCAGAAAGTGGACCAGAAAGTGGACCAGGAAGTGGGCCAGCCTCTCACTGCTGGAAGTTGTAATGTTGAACTGGACTCAGTGCTCTGAGCTGTGACTGAGAAGATACTGCCCATATTGTGTTCTTTTGCCCATATTTGGAGTCTTCCTTCTGATGCCGCATTACAGTGCCCAGGGTGCACCTCTCTCGCCGGAGCGTGGTCACATGAGCGACTTCTGGCACAAGATGAGCTGCTGTGTCAGCACCAAACCGCCTCCGGTGAGTGTCCAAGGAGCACACCATAGAGGTCAGTGGTCAGGGAGTTAAGTTATACAAACATTTCTCAAACTTTGAACATCTCAAGGCTCTTTTCCATACATTATTCAGAAATGTAGAGTATGGACCACTGCAAAATTACCAGCACACAATTGTCCATCCAACTAAGAGATGTATCAGATGACCCATGGCCCATGGTACTTTGCTGGACACATTCACAGCTCATCTGGGGAGAGTCACTACATGAGACAAACATGAGTCACACTCTGCACAGATCTGCGAAGAGCAACATCATGTTGTGGGGCTGATTTTCTTCAACAGGTCACATGATATGTTTGTGTTTCAGAAGAAAAGGCGGAGAATTGACCGCAGTATGATTGGAGAGCCAACCAACTTCATCCACCTCACGCACGTTGGCTCCGGGGACGCGGCCGAGCGCATCCAGCCGGTAATGAACTCTGAGCTGTAATACCCGTGTGTGCCACCAGGGGCTGTGACCTCTGACCTGTAATTGGGCTGATGTTCTTGTTGTGATTGAAGATGTTGTTGTTGCAGATGGGGTCGGTCCAGGACCAGATGAGGACCAGAGGGTTTTCTTAGCAGCAGGTGAGGCTTTACTCTCTAGCGCCCCCTATGGTCCTGCAGTCTCCGCTCAGACCACATATTGTTCTCCTGTCTCTACAGCGGAGCACTGCTGACATTTTGGCTCAGATGACCAGGACGTTTTGGCTCCGATGAACACCAGTCTGACCCAGTTTATTTTAATTATTCCAAGAGTCTCTCAGGAAGCCATGACCTGCATAGACTACAGCTCCCATCAAGCACCTCTCCCTCGTGCCCTTGTATGGGCGCTGCGGTCGCCATTTCAAAATAATGTTTGATTGACAGCCTGGACTTTATTATTACTCCTGCTGACATTACACAAGGAAACGTTCTGATTTGACAAATGAAAATGTTTTTATTTTGTTGAGTTAAAGCTGGGGAACGTAACTTTAGTCTCACATGTAGTTTGAACTAAAAGAATCCTAAAGTAAAATGTCAGACCACAAGATACGCTCTTCATCTCCTTGGAATTTTTTTTGTGTGTGTAAGAAAAAGCCCTTAGAGTCACTATCTGACTCTTTGGGCTGAGAGCAGATTGGGTGAGTGAGGGTGGTCCTCTTTTACACTTTCCTGTCTGAGAAAAAAGTGACGGAAACATATGATGTGAAAACTAGTGATAGAGAAAAATGTGTTAAAACCAGGAACGAGAGACAAGTGTTATTAGAGTTCTGTTGGTGTGGTCTGAAAGTTACAGACCCGAGCTTTAACGTTAAAGACCTCCGCCAACAGCACTTTGTTCGTGTTTTGTATATTTTTATATATTTCACTAAATTTGACTGAATCTATTGGATTCTGATACGTTTATTTCATGTTTTGTTCATGTAAATAAAGAGAGTATTCCCTCAGGAGCTGTTTTTATTTATTTGGAATCAATGTGGATTGATTGTGTGTAAATACGCACGCACACACGCATGTACGCACGCACGCAAACGCCACACAGAATGGTCTGGACCTGGAATCACACCCAGGAGCTTCTTGCTGTGAGGTATGAGTGCTAACCACTGCACCACAGTGCTGGGCTCTGTGCATTTATCATCAAAGAGATAAAAAACAGGCCATAAACACAACTCAAAGAGAAAAGTGCAATTTATGTGATGTCACACATCATAACATCATTATGACATAATTCTGCTGATACTGAATAAATTAGTTTCTTTGGTCTGTGGCTGTGAGGGTGGTCATCATGGAAACGTCATCGGGGCAAACTCTGATCAAACCTGAAATCAAAGTTTATGTTTACATACTGTGAATTTACCAGAGAGAGAGAAAGTGTTTGTGTCTGTGTGTGTCTCTCACATTGTAACACAGTTGGGGATCTGAGCGTGCTCAGTAGGCACCAGGTCACTCAGCTGCTGCAGCGAGTCGACAAAGACAAGTTTACGACTGAATTTAGAACTGAAACAAAACACAGTGTTTAAACTCATGTCAAACTTGAATCCATAGTCCGTAGGAGTGAACTGACCAAGTGTGCCATCACCACAGTGTTAGCTTTAATGTGGAAGACGCCGATATGAACATTAGCTAGCTGGAGTCAATGTCTTTGTATGGGCATTTGTGCGCCATTCATTTGTAAGCGGGGACAGTGAGGACAGGGGACAGTGAGGACAGGGGACAGTGAGGACAGGGGACAGTGAGGACAGGGGACAGTGAGGACAGGGGACAGAGAGACAGAGGGAATAGAAGAGTACAGAAGGGACAGAGAGGACAGAGGGAACAGGAGAGGCCAGAGATGGGGACAGTATTTCTGACCTGATGAACGGTTTGACAATGGTGATGAGAGCTTTGATGAACCAGGTCGGGTGAACAACGAAGAACGACTTTAGATTCTTCCTCAGACTGAGACACAGGAAATCAACGATCACACAGTCAATTCAATTCAATGCATTTTTGTATTGTCTCACAATCACCACAGTAGTTATCTCGGAGGACTTTACTAAACCGTTGAATTCGCCAACACAGAACCGATAATCAAACAGTTCAAACACAAGAAATGCAATGATAACAAACACATAGAGCCATTGGTCCACAAGGGGCAGATGACCAATGTCCAGGGTGGACCAAAAACATGTACAGTAGGTGATGGCTGAATGAGTGTGTGTGAGTGTGACTGTGGGACTACATTTGGAAATTAGCTACACAACTACAATCTGGTGTTCAAGAATACGCACTGTCCCATACAAATAAATGTTGATCAATGTCCATATATGTCCAGGAAGTGAGTGGTCAGGCAGGAAGTGAAAGGTCGGACGGGAAGTGAGCACCATTGGCATTAGCTTGTTGTGAGCTCACCGGCGGTCGATGGCGGTGTAGCAGTCCCGCAGCCAGCTCAGGCCTGGGACCTGGTTCCTCTGAGCTCCTGCACAAAGGTAGATGATCACATAGTCCTGAGACACCATCAGTTCCAAGGTCCCCATCACATATCTGAGGGAGGGGCCACAGGTGAGGGAGGGGTAATATTACACATATGTTCTTTAAAGTTTACACGCCTAACATAGCTCCAGAGGTTATAATTGAATAACAGAGAGAGGGACCAGAGAGAAACCAGGGGGAAGAGACCAGAGATAGAAAGACCAGAGAGAGGCTAAAGAGAGACCAAAAAGAGAGACCAGAGAGAGACCAGAAAGAGAGATCAGAGAGACCAGAGAGAGAGAGATCAGAGATAGACCAGAGAGAGAGAGATCAGAGATAGACCAGAGAGAGAGAGATCAGAGATAGACCAGAGAGAGAGAGATCAGAGATAGACCAGTGAGAGAGAGATCAGAGATAGACCAGAGAGAGAGAGATCAGAGATAGACCAGAGAGAGAGAGATCAGAGATAGACCAGAGAGAGAGAGATCAGAGAGACCAGAGAGAGAGAGATCAGAGAGACCAGAGAGAGAGAGAGAGACCAGAGAGAGAGAGAGAGAGAGAGAGAGATCAGAGAGGATACAGAATCTCATCCGCAACAACGACAAAAGACTCCTAGCTGTCATTTATTTTTAAGGGAAATACACGCTACTGAGAACTGGGGGATGAAGACTCATGATGAGGTCAGAAGAGGAGTTTCTAACCTCATTATCATTAAATATGAGAAACGTCTTCATTTGACACTGAGAAGAAAGTGTTTATGTTTCATTCAGAATCTCTGAAATGTGTACGATACCTGAACAGATGGTCCATCACCTCCTCATACGACTCTGTATTGTTTTCCGGCAAATAGCATGACGAGAACACGATGATATCATTTTGCTCGTCGCCGTAGTAACCTGAAATCAGACTCAGATTCATTGGTGAGGAGGCGGTCTCTGGGTCAGGCTCATAGTTAGAGTTATCTTTAGTCTGGTCTGATCACGGACTTGGTCTGGGTCTGGCTCCGGCTCTTAGTGTTGTCTGGGTCTGGGTCTGGGTCTGGGTCTGGGTCTTGGTCTGGGTCTGGGTCTGGGTCTTGGTCTGGGTCTTGGTCTGGGTCTGGGTCTTGGTCTTGGTCTTGGTCTGGGTCTGGGTCTTGGTCTTGGTCTGGGTCTGGGTCTGGGTCTTGGTCTGGGTCTTGGTCTGGGTCTGGGTCTGGGTCTTGGGTCTTGGTCTTGGTCTTGGTCTGGGTCTGGGTCTGGGTCTGGGTCTGGGTCTGGGTCTTGGTCTGGGTCTGGGTCTGGGTCTTGGTCTTGGTCTTGGTCTTGGTCTTGGTCTGGGTCTTGGTCTTGGTCTGGGTCTTGGTCTTGGTCTGGGTCTGGGTCTGGGTCTGGGTCTTGGTCTGGGTCTTGGTCTTGGTCTTGGTCTTGGTCTTGGTCTTGGTCTGGGTCTTGGTCTGGGTCTGGGTCTGGGTCTGGGTCTGGGTCTGGGTCTTGGTCTTGGTCTTGGTCTTGGTCTGGGTCTTGGTCTGGGTCTTGGTCTTGGTCTTGGTCTGGGTCTGGGTCTGGGTCTGGGTCTGGGTCTGGGTCTTGGTCTGGGTCTTGGTCTGGGTCTTGGTCTGGGTCTTGGTCTTGGTCTGGGTCTGGGTCTGGGTCTTGGTCTGGGTCTTGGTCTGGGTCTGGGTCTGGGTCTTGGTCTGGGTCTTGGTCTTGGTCTTGGTCTGGGTCTGGGTCTGGGTCTGGGTCTGGGTCTGGGTCTTGGTCTGGGTCTGGGTCTGGGTCTTGGTCTGGGTCTTGGTCTGGGTCTGGGTCTTGGTCTTGGTCTTGGTCTGGGTCTGGGTCTTGGTCTTGGTCTGGGTCTGGGTCTGGGTCTTGGTCTGGGTCTTGGTCTGGGTCTGGGTCTGGGTCTTGGTCTGGGTCTTGGTCTTGGTCTTGGTCTGGGTCTGGGTCTGGGTCTGGGTCTGGGTCTGGGTCTGGTCTGGTCTGGGTCTGGGTCTGGGTCTTGGTCTTGGTCTTGGTCTTGGTCTTGGTCTGGGTCTTGGTCTTGGTCTGGGTCTTGGTCTTGGTCTGGGTCTGGGTCTTGGTCTGGGTCTTGGTCTGGGTCTGGGTCTGGGTCTTGGTCTTGGTCTTGGTCTTGGTCTGGGTCTTGGTCTGGGTCTGGGTCTGGGTCTGGGTCTGGGTCTGGGTCTTGGTCTTGGTCTTGGTCTTGGTCTGGGTCTGGGTCTGGGTCTTGGTCTTGGTCTTGGTCTGGGTCTGGGTCTGGGTCTGGGTCTGGGTCTGGGTCTGGGTCTTGGTCTGGGTCTTGGTCTGGGTCTTGGTCTGGGTCTTGGTCTTGGGTCTGGGTCTGGGTCTGGGTCTTGGTCTGGGTCTTGGTCTGGGTCTGGGTCTGGGTCTTGGTCTGGGTCTTGGTCTTGGTCTTGGTCTGGGGTCTGGGTCTGGGTCTGGGTCTGGGTCTGGGTCTGGGTCTGGGGGTCTGGGTCTGGGTCTTGGTCTTGGTCTTGGTCTTGGTCTTGGTCTGGGTCTTGGTCTTGGTCTGGGTCTTGGTCTTGGTCTGGGTCTGGGTCTTGGTCTGGGTCTTGGTCTGGGTCTGGGTCTGGGTCTGGGTCTGGGTCTGGGTCTTGGTCTGGGTCTGGGTCTGGGTCTGGGTCTTGGTCTGGGTCTGGGTCTGGGTCTGGGTCTTGGTCTTGGTCTTGGTCTGGGTCTTGGTCTGGGTCTTGGTCTTGGTCTGGGTCTGGGTCTGGGTCTGGGTCTGGGTCTGGGTCTGGGTCTTGGTCTGGGTCTTGGTCTGGGTCTTGGTCTGGGTCTTGGTCTGGGTCTGGGTCTTGGTCTGGGTCTGGGTCTTGGTCTTGGTCTTGGTCTGGGTCTGGGTCTGGGTCTTGGTCTTGGTCTTGGTCTTGGTCTGGGTCTTGGTCTTGGTCTGGGTCTGGGTCTGGGTCTGGGTCTTGGTCTGGGTCTTGGTCTTACCTCCATGGGACAGGACTCGGACGTGATCCTGGATCAGACTCATGTTGACTGAGGCTCCGCTGCAGCTAAAAGAGCGCCACCTGCTGCCCGCACTGTCCACCGTGTCCTCTGTGTCGTCCAGGGAGCGTGAGGGTGTAGGGCCAGAGGAGGGGGCGGGGCCACGAGAGCAGGCCACGCCCAGACGCCGCATGTCCTCTGAAAACACCATGTTAGTGAGCACTTCTCCTTTTCTAAGACAATCCATCCCCTTCACACAAAGCTTTAAGAGTGGATTATCTCGGCAAAGGAGTTTAATACCCTCCAGGTCCAGATCCAGGTCCATGTCGGGGGGGAACATCAGAGATTCAGAGTCTGAGGGAGTCTCCAGGCCCTCCAAGTCCAAGTCCAAGTCCACCTCATCCCCCGATGGAGACAAGACCAGGGACAAGTCCTCTGAGACCAGAGACTCTCCACCTGTGACAGAGACGAGAGTTAGACCCGAGACTAAAGAGAAAAGAGATCATAAAGACCACTTGAGACCAGGGACCAGATTGGTTTCCGGTTCAGGACTGACCCAGGGAGAGGCTGAGAGTCGGCGCACTCAGAACTTTCTTCTTCCTCTTCTTATTGGACAGCTGTAACGAAGTGGGTGGGACTGTGGGCGGAGACAAACACACACATTAAAGACGGCAACGGTTTGGTTGGAGTCAGCTTGAATCCTGACTGAAGGATTTTATAGTCACTCTTTTTTTTTTACTGTTTTATTTTTGCAATTTTTTAAACACAGACATTAGAGGTTGGGGGATGGCTAGCAATATAATACAAAAATACAAAACATTGAGTCTACAATTCACATTTTTTATACCGTCTCTGTACTGTCACTGTTTATAAAGTCCAGCCACTTTGCCCAGCGCCTTTTTCCCAGTTCTTCCTGTAGTCGCAAAGTGTAGGTCATCTGCTCCATGAGTTTAATATTTTTCACTATTGAAATGAAAAGATTTACAGTAGGTGGATGTTTCTGCAACCATTTTTTTGTTATGGACTTCTTGGCTGATGCCAGTAGAATTTTGAAGAGGTATAAATCATTTGGGGGCATGTTGTTGGGTAAACATCCCATATACAGCACCAAAAATGAGTTATTGATCCCATAACCCAATGTTTTAGCATTTATATTTTCTAAGTCTGTCCAGAAGGACTGAATGAGCGGGCAGGACCAGAAAATGTGTCTGTGTTCTGCTGATGCTTCCCCGCATTCTCTTTAGCAGTGTGCTCGAGTAGGGCTGAACTTGGATTTTTGTATTGGTGTTATGAAGAAGCAGACAAGGTTCTTTCAACAGAAGTCCCTCCTGGTGTTTGGATTGGTCGTTGAGAACTGTACTTCCCAAATCTTTGTCCAACAATAACAATGTTCGTCTCCTTTATCCATTTCTGCTTTGTGTAAGTTGTTGAGTTTGTCCTAAGTGCAGTCAGACTGCTGTATAGTTTACCTATTGCACTTTTAGGAATTATTATATGCATTAATGAAAATAAGTGCTGATGGATTAAACTTAATATGTTGTATGTTTTTAGTAATATAGTTACGAAGCTGTAAGTATTGGAAATCATGTTTTTCAAGGTTGAACTTCTTACATAAAGCATCAAATATCATGAAATTAGATTTTTCATAAACAGTACATAAAGCCGAGATGTCATGTAATGCCCAATCCCGAAACGTACCGTCATGAGAGGCAGGTGGAAAATCAGGGTCGTAGACTGGCCAGCTAAGAAGTCTGATCGCCTCTTGAATCTGTAGTTTCTTTACTTCAGATTTCCATATTTTCAGTGACAAATTTACCCACTGGCTTTCGGTAAAACTCTCATGGGAAATATAGCCTGAATTGTCAGATCACTGTGAGACATCTCAATAGTTTTTGGTCATGTTAGATCTTAGTGCCGCGTTCGACACTGTCGACCATGAGATCCTCATGCAGAGACTGGAGGACTGGGTTGGTGTCACTGGCACAGCCCTAGACTGGTTTAGGTCTTACCTGGAGGATAGGAAGTACTTTGTGGAGATTGGAGACTGCGTCTCAGATCATGTGGCCCTGACCTGTGGAGTACCACAGGGGTCGATCCTGGGACCTCTCCTATTTAATCTCTACATGCTGCCGTTAGGTCAGTTAATACAAAGAAACAAAGTGTCCTACCACAATTACGCCGACGACACTCAGATCTATGTCTCACTGACTGCAGGAGAACATGGACCACTGGATTTGCTCCTTCACTGTATCCAACAGATCAGTGAGTGGATGCAAAATAATTTCCTCCAGCTAAATGCAGACAAAACCGAAATCATTGTCTTTGGTCCCCAGAAACAAAGAGAGGGCGTCATCTGTCAACTTCAGTCTCTCTCCCTACTTCCTTCAGACAAGGTCAGAAATTTGGGGGTAATACTGGACTCAGACCTAAATTTCAATAGCCACATAAAATCAATAACATCAACAGCTTTTTACCATCTGAAGAACATTGCCAAAGTCAGAAATATAGTGTCCAGGGCAGACTTGGAGAATCTTGTCCACGCATTTGTCTCCAGCAGGCTAGACTACTGCAATGGCCTGCTTACAGGTCTGTCCAAACAGACCTGTAAGCAGCTGCAGTACATCCAAAATGCAGCAGCTAGAGTCCTGACAGGAACCAGGAAGTATGACCATATTAGTCCGGTCCTCAGGTCTCTGCACTGGCTTCCTGTGGCTCAAAGAATAGATTTTAAAACAGCTCTGCTTGTGTACAAGTCTCTCCATGGCCTTGCACCAGAATACATTAGTGACATGTTGGTGTCATATGAACCAGCCCGGACTCTGAGGAGCACAGGGACTGGCCTCCTGCTGGTGCCCAGAGTGAGAACCAAACATGGGGAGGCTGCGTTTCAGATCTATGCAGCTAAGATCTGGAACAATCTCCCTGAAAATGTGAGGGAGGCGTCTACTCTGTCAATGTTCAAATCCAGGTTAAAGACTGTTCTGTTTGCCTGTGCATACAACTGAAGGATTTTATCTCCATTTGTAATGCACTGCTGTCATTTATTTATTTATTTTTTTAAATTTCTTGTGTAACTTTGAAAGTGTTAATGGTTTTATTCTTTTGTGTGATTTTATTGTTTTTATTGTGTTTTAATCTTTTGTGTGATTTTAATGTTTTAATTGTGATTCTGGTGTTTGTTTTATGTGATGATTTGTGATGTGGACTGTGAAGCGCTTTGTGTTGCCCTGTGCATGAAAGGCGCTCTACAAATAAACTTTGATTGATTGATTGATTGATTGATTGATTGATTTTCCATTTTGCACAGTAGGATGGGTTACTACTGTGGTTACACCAGCAAACCAGCTGTGCTGATATGTAGTATTCCTGTAGTGAGGGAACAGCCTGCCCCCACTTCTCCTTCAGAATTGTAATGTGCAAAATCTAACTCTTGGTCTGTTTTTCTGCCAAATTAATCTGTGTTTATTCCATTCCCTGAACTGTTTGTTGGGAATAGACGCAGGTAGGGATAAGAAAACGTAGAGTAATTTTGGGAGGATGTTCATCTTAATTGTTTGTATTCTGTTTCCAAAGTCAAGGGGGAGGAGGCTCCAACTGTCCAGGTCTCTGTATATTTCCTTGTTAAGAGGGCTATATATAGGGTTTGTCACTCCCTCTGAGTTTATAAAGGCTCAAAATCGTTCTTAAGTTTTAAACAGACATTTATTCGTCTAGGAGAAATGCCAACATGACGAGAATGCCGTCAGAAGTGAAAGGAACATAAAAAATGTACATTAACGCTTAAAGAGGGCACTTACACATATAACACATCACACAGAGCAATGGAGACCAAGACATACCTCATTGGCCGCTTTACTCAACAGGGAATAAAACACAAAAATACTTTCAAAGGGTTGCTTTTCTGATACCCGACATCTTCCATGCGTGGACCGAGCGAAGCACCTCGTGGCTTGTGAGGAAAATTAATACAACAAAAAAGGGGTGTGTCCAAAATTAGTAAAAAATATGAAATAACTTTACATTGCACTTTTAACTATTTATAATATTTGTAACTCTTACGTACGTAAATAAATGAGAGTTTCCTCTGCAGCTACAGTTTTTATCAAATAGTTTTGAGAGATTTTTGGGTAAATAAACCCTTAAGTATTTAATCTGCTTAGAGAACAAATTTACATTAAACTTAGTCATCAATTCCTGTCTAGGGTGATAATTGAATGTCATAATTAGAGTTTTATGAGTGTTCAGGGTGTAACTAGAATAGGAACCATATTGCTCTAATATTCCTGTCAACACTGGTAAACCAAGGTTGGGTTTTGTCATTGTTATTAAAACATCATCAGCGTACAGACACACCCTATACTCCTCTCTCCCTATTTGAATACCCTTTAGTCTTGTGATGGCAAGCGACTAGTATTCATATCTCCCTGCTCCAGGAAGGAGCAACTCTGCCTGGTTCTATTCATATGTCCCTGCTTCAGGAAGGAACCGGGTCCCCCGACACCTACAGACAATGGCGTAAATCACTGTCTCACTCTCGCCCCCCTTTCGCCTCTTGCATATCTATCGGTCTGTATGTGTGCATTTTCTACATCCTGCTTCTCGTCACACCCTTGTGTCTTTCGCGTCTGCATCTGTATGACCTGCATTTTCTACCATTGTCTGTCTGTTCGCACCTACATCCCCAGGCGCCTCCTCACCGGTGGCCCCCCTCCCATTCTGTTGTGGGCGGGACTGTCTTTCGTGTGTGTCTGTATACAGGAAACTCGGAGCTCTGCTTCAGAGCTGAGCATGCTGCCGTTGTGTGCATATGCTGACTCTCCGCACTGTGCGTTAACAATAAACTTACGCTTTTGATCAGACAAAGGACCTTTGAGTTTCCTCCTTCATGGGGTATATATTTCTATAACAATTTGGCGTTGCTGACATGTCTTGGCATGGGATACTTTCGGCGGGGACGAGCGGCTTTGTTTGGCCGACCTGGATCACCAGCCTCTGTTCCTTTTTGGAGACAAAGGAGGGCGCGCTCGTCCGCGCATGGAAGCAATCTTTTGCCACACAAGACCAAAAAGAACCTAATCTGGTGAGTCTTGTCTTTTCATCTGCGTAACGAGCCCAGGGCAGCACTTAAGTGTACACGGGGATTTGTTTATTTATGTATTTTTGGGGTATTTCATTCATTGCCACAGCATAGTCTGTGTGCGGGATTTTTTGGGGGGCTTTTTGTTCTAGATTGAAACTAGCGGCTGCGCGTTAGTATCGTCCTGTAGGCGACCCTGATAATTTCTCCAAGTGTCTTCAGCCAGACCCGCTCCATTTCAAGAACGCGCGCTCGCTGGTTGAACCAGCGAGGGGGGAATGGAGCGCCCCAAAGTGGGTAGGAGCAGGGAGAGACTAAGCGGGTTAGGCCCATTGTTCGTACGAGAAAATGGGTAAAAATCAATCTAGGAGATGCAAGCTATGGAGTGCTTGCCTATGGTGCAGGCCATTACGCATCTTGCGTGATAATTTAGAAGAAGAAGGGAAGAAAAAAAAAATATACTTGGTTTTAAGAATATCACGGCAAAAGAGGTTAGAGAAAGAAATATGTAAAAACAATAGCTCCTCCGCCCTTCACCGAAGCGGAGAACACAGAGGCGG